ACCTTGCTTACCTCGGGGCACGCACAGATCTCAAAAATTGATTTGATCTTTTTGAACCAACAAGTGAGGGCAATGACACCTCCATTGCCGTCAAAGGATTTAGGTTTCGCATTCATAAAGTCTTTGTAGGAACACTCCTTCTGGTGTCCCTGACCACCATCAAGATTAAGGGGATGGGTACCACTTCCTGATCCGCTAGAGCCGCCAGAATTAATCTACGACATCGCGGCAGCCACATCGGCTGTAACTGCTGCTTGGAACATAGCGGGATCGAACTGAGGAGATGGTGGCGTCGGATCCGTCGGAGGGTTGTTGTTCTTTCTGTTGGGTCTCTTCCTGGGAGGCATCTTTCTCTAAAAGATACAAGGGAAAAATGACGATAAGCCTCCTACATTGATCATGAATCGAATATATTCGAGTAGTATCTACCTAAATACTACAACGATAACAGAGATCTACAATAAAGGTTTACTAACATATACAAGGAATTGCAGGTCTTTCACTTATGAGGATTTATACTACTTGTAACGACGTTGTGTAGTGATATAATGTTATAAAATACTCCTATAGTATTTTAACTATGTGCTTCGTTAGTATTAGAATTGGTGATTTTTAGACTTGTCACGACACCACAGTCACTCCCAAACACATGTTTTTCATATCTCGGACAAATATAGTTGATCAGGTTATATTGGTCCCACATATGATTACATAACTATTCAGGTTTAACCGCATTGCCCAACTCGTCCTAAATACTTCTATGTAGTTCTTACTATGGTACAGCTTCTAGTATGTATGTATACTTGTATACTTCTTGTAAAATACTTATATTTTAAAAGTATACTTTTAGTTCAGAGAGCTTCAGCCCCTTTAGTGTTTATAGTTGTATACCATGTAAGGTTCGGTATACTTAGTTCACTATAAACAATAGCTCTGATACCAATCTGTCACACCCCCAAACCGAAACAGCGGAAACGTTCGGGGGTGGAGGACGTCATGTATAGTATCACAACAATTGCATCATAGTAATCAAAGTAAACACAACCATTACTTTGAATAAGTAAAATATTTACATCTGTTTAATACAAATTTTGCATACACTAAAAGTATAACAAAAATATAAAAGACATGACTTTATATGCTTCGTTTTCTCAAAAAGTTGAGGGCGTACCTGTCTATTGATTTCCTGATAATACAAGCGGTATTGAAAAGAGAGTATCAGCATTAAGCTGGGGAGTTCATAAGCGATGTTTTTATAATGAAAAACCTGTCGATGAACCTGTAAAAAAAATGTTTGTATGTTTCCAAGAAAATCCAATATTTTCTTAAATAAAGAGTGATAATATCAGTTCCTTCTATGACCACTTAGTTCATACTAGTAATGCATAAACTAATATCGACTAGACAGTTGATTATGTGGATCTGCCCTAAGTCCACAACCAAACAAGGAACAGGAAATGAGGCGGAAACCACACATTCCATAGTCTATTGGATATTCTTCATACATAACCTTTGTGCATAAACTAAGGAGTTGTAGAATTTACAATGGATATTCGTTTCTATATCATGTTGCAGTATATAAAAATGTTGGTTCGTATGCTTGGTTACTATCAGTAATGTATAACATGTTCTGTTTGAAAACCCTGGTTACCACCAGTAATGTATAGTATGTTCTATTTGAAAAACCTGGTTACCACCAGTAATGTGTAGCATGTTCTGTTTGAAAACCCTGGTTACCACCAGTAATGTGTAGTATGTTTTATTTGAAAACCCTGGTTACCAACAGTAATGTATAGTATGTTCTATTTGAAAGCCCTGGTTACCACCAGTAATGTATAGTATGCTCTATTTGAAAACCCTGGTTACCACCAGTAATGTATAGTATGTTCTATTTGAAAACCCTGGTTACCTCCAGTAATGTATAGTATGTTCTATTTGAGTACCCTGGTTACCACTAGTAATGTATAGTATTTTTATTACTTAAAATAAAACTATGTATTTTATCCCCTGCAATCCTCCCCTTTAGTGTATAATAGTTCTACTAATTAAAATAAAACTAATGAAGAATAAAATCCCGTAAACAAAGGTTAGTTTATACTATTGTGAGTCGTATAACCATACTTGATGCAACCTAGTGACCTTTACGACGTTCATCAAGTGTCAGATATTATGACATTTTTCACCTCAGGCATGCCTGCCTAACTGTAGCTAGCAGTTCAGGTGTGAGATTGTCAGTCCCGAATAGATCTATTCACAAATCTCACGCTCTCCCTCCAAGAGACTCTGGTTATACTATGTTAGGATTTAGTTTCGTACCCCGAAGGGTACCATTTGAACTAGAGCCTCACAACCTTGTATTAACTAGTTTACGTGTAGTTTTGTATCGTTCTCTTGTACTTGAATTCGTATGTAAACTTACAGAGTAATAATAATAATAATAGTTATAGTTAAATAATTATTTAGTATGGTACTCTAGTATTCGGAAAGTAGTGATGTTTACCATAAACTATATTTGTCATAGTTTAAGTGATTGCTAATGTAAAATCCAGAAATGGCAAAACTGTGTATTGGAATCCCAAACTATACCTATTATAGTTTGCATGTGTATTAAGTGCTCGGTTCGTGTATTATTCTGAAAACTATGCAATTATGATTGTGAGTTGAAAACTTCCCTTATGCTCAACATATTACAAAAGGGATAAGATATCAAAACATTTTATAAAATGTGGTGATCTTTTGGTTGTATCAATTGCATAAGTTTTAATCGTGTAGAAGTTCTGTGTATAATGTTCATGAAATCTATTTGTGTTTGGCTTGCATCCCCCCTGAAAACGTTAAAATAATAAAAGTGTAGGGGTATGAACTCACTGTTAGTTGCGTGAAAAGGTTAGACAACGAAACTGGAAATTAAGTCCCTCGGGTTGATGTACGCGGCACTTAACGGGATCCTAATAACAATTAAATACATATATGCATTTTATTAGCGAAACCATTAATTATAGTGTTGGAAAAACACTTGCTTTTGGTTTAGGAATGTTACCGGAACTCGATTGAATCGGAAAGAGCGGGTTTTCAGCCAAGTTCACGACTTGGGAAGGTTTGCGGCCATGAACTGTTCTCGGCCGTGAACAACCTCTTGAATGGTTTACGGCCGTGAACGGTATTCTTGAAGAAAATATGAAGGTTTGAAGGGTTCACGACCTGTTCTTGGTGAAATATAAAGATTTGAATGGTTCACGGCCGTGAACTCAAGAACAACCAGGCTTGATTTGATGAAAAACGGATGTTTTGATGCTCCAAAACGACACCCAATGATGATTTTTGATGATTTTCGGAAGAAAGAGGGGTATTTTTGTGTTTGCGGTTGAGAGGTTAGAGAGAGAATGGAGGGGTTTTCGGCCAGAAAAGTGCAGATGAGGGGTAGGAGCACATATTTATAGGTTGGGTTCACGGTTAGTGGCGGGGGCCACCAGCCGTGAACGGGTTTACGGCCGTGAACACCAGTCAGGCCGGTTTTCGCTGATTTTCGAAGTAACTCGTGTTTTCGCGCGATTTTGGTTCCGACTCATATATAAAATTCAATTATATAACTTAAATGATTTTCCAAACCATAAGAATTTGATGGAACTAAATAAAAATCCAAAATTTATTTAACGGAATCGGCTAACGATAGCGGAAAAAGGTTCGGGTTCTCACACATATACCATGTTAATTGTATATTACATGTCCGTACAGATAATATTTTGGTTTCTACTTCATTAACTGATGTCACGTTGGAACCAAGAACACCGGAAGCGGAGAGGATAAGAATTAGATATGGAAAATATCTAATTTTACTATAGGTTTTTGTTTGTGGATTATGTGATAGTTATTTGGATTTTTAGGTGGTTATTTGTTTTCCTAGTTTTTGATATTTATTTCTTTGCGGATTTTTGAAATGGCTTTTCAGTACGTTTTATAATGAATTAATAATTTTTAGTTTATAAATTCAGTTTCTTTGTTTATTTTTTTATATTATTTTATTTCATTCTTTTTATTTATAAGATATTTACGTTGTGGTATATTAATTATAACAAATATTCTACCAATGAAAAAGTACAAATATTATTTAAATATAAACTACTCAATATGCATTTATCCAATTATTTAAGAAAAAAACTATTGATACTCTTAAAGAAATATATACCGAAAAAAACTAATGAAACTTGAAACAAATATATATTGCATAAGGCAAACAAGCTAAGAAAAGGGAACATAAAAAAGAAAAACCGTTAAAACATTACTTAAAGTAGTGAAAAAAAACTATATAATTTAATGCAAATATTTCTTTCATATATAAAAATTTAGTTCAACTCAATCAATGTTCGAGTAATACGGTTATAAGTATCGTATATAATAATCGTTTTTCATTAATTTGTGTTATGAAAAAAACTCAATTTATATATTATTATTTTTACGTTTTTACAGTTGGCATGATGATTGTAGACAAGGAAAATATGCCTAATGATGTCATTCGACTAGACATAAATGCACATAAAGGTATGTCTGATATGTGCAACATGATTATTACTTTAATTTTACGTATAATTCATCAAAAACAAAATAATGCAGAAAAAAGAAAAGCATATAATAAGACGTCTTATGAACGACGAACGGAGAATAACATGATTAGACGAATAGCCGATGGAGAGGTAAGTAGACAAAACGTGACACATATGACAAATGTGTGTACAGCAGAGAGGACCCTAACGGATATTACAAATAAAACTCCTACAAGTGTATTGGATTTTGCTCAAAGGAGGTCGATTCAGAACAAAAAGGCCTATCAACGACGAAAGGAGTGAAACTCAGCGACAACGCCTAAAGAAATTCTACAGGAGGATCCATATGACTTTGTTTATAATGGTATCCCTAAAGAACATCGTGTGTTGAAGGGGCAAAAAGCATGTGTTCATTGTGGAGCAAAACGATTCCAATTTGAATTCCCTACCTTTTGTTGCATGGGTGGTAAAACAAAGTTGGTACATTCCTCTATTCCCGAAGAATTACTCAAACTCTTCACATCTCGAAACGAATTAGGCAAGACCTTTAGACACATGATACGAGCATACAACAACTTTTCATTTGCATCAATAGGCGTGAATGTGGATAAAACAATGACAAATATGACATATGGAGTATACACTTTTTGTGTGAATGGAGGAATATATCATAGAATCGATCAGTTAATCCCAAGGAATGGAAAACCTCGGTACTTACAGTTGTATTTTTATGATGCTGATTATGGGATGTCACATAGACTCAAATGGAAGAATATTGATAAACAAATTGCTCAAAAGTTGATCTGTGTTCTTGCCACAAACCCATACGTGCAAATATTTCAAAGACTTGTTGATCTAGGGCCGCTTGACAATTACAGAGTCACTTTGAATGCATCGGTAGAACTTAACCAAAGGGTATACAACAGACCAACCACATCCGAGGTACCACAATAATTATTGTCTATTAATTATAAAATAAATATATTATGTATGACATACAAATGTATATATTACACACCATATTTAATCATATCGTTTCGATAATAAAAATTCTAGGTCGCTGGTATTTGGATTGAAGGTAACGACAACATAGCCGCATATAAACAAAGTATTATCGTTTATGGCAGATCCGACAAACCACGAACAATTCAATCTTACTGGGGATGTTATGATCCATTGTGTTATCCTTTATGTTTTCCTAATGGTGAGTCTGGATGGCATTCTAATATCCCAAGATATGGATTTCCCATCAATAATATTATTAACGACGACGAAGACATCCAGGATGATTTAGAAGGTACACATATCATAACTTTTTAAATTTTAGTTAAATTTACAATGATCACATGTTTGTACAAATCATTAATTTTTTTTTGTTCACGACATCAACATTGTGTAGACTCTAATACAAAAGGAGGGCAGAATACTGTAAGTATGCGAGAGTACTATTTCTATAAGTTTTAAACCTGGTCAAATTATAATGTAATTTTGTTGGGAGGGAGATTACTACAATAGTTTGTAGTAGATATCTACATCAAGCTTGAGACTTCACGTTTGGAGTTTTGTAGAAAAAACCAGTCCAAAATAAGAGCAGATTTATACCAAGGTGTTGTGGATTGTGTTAATGCTGGTGAGGTTCGATCGAATATGATAGGGCAACGTGTTGTGTTGCCTGCAAGTTTCATCAGAGACCCACGTGACATGCGGCGACGATTTCTTGACGCCATGACTTTAGTTCAAGATGACGGGAAGCCTGACATATTTCTTACAATGACATGCAATCCAAACTGGCCGGAAATTAAAGATGAGTTATTCCCTTGGCAGACGGCTCAAGATCGACCGGACCTTGTGTCAAGAGTTTTTCGTGCTAAGTTAGAGGATCTTAAGAAACAAATCTTCACGAAGCACGTCCTCGGCGTGGTGGGTGCGTACGTTTATGTCATTGAGTTTCAAAAGCGGGGTTTGCCACATGCACATTTCCTCTTGATAATGATGCCTCCATACAAGCTTACTAATGCAGATGAGTACGACAAAATAGTATGTGCTGAAATTCCAGACCCAATAAGGCATCCTAAAATGTACCAATTGGTCGTCTCACACATGATACATGGTCCGTGCGGTGGCTTAAACTCTGACTGTCCTTGTATGAATAATGAGCAAAAGAAATGTCGTTTTAGATACCCTCGACAATTCAATGAAACCACCTTACAAGGAAAGGACTCTTATCCCGTGTACCGAAGGGGAGATAATGGTATAGAGGTGGACATACGAGGAAATAAGATGGATAACACATGGGTGGTCCTGTATAACCCAAAGTTGTTAATGATGTTTAACTGTCATATGAATGTTGAGGTATGCTCGAGTATTACCTCTGTGAAATATGTGTTTAAGTATATTTACAAAGGTTATGATAAACAAGTTATCAATATTGATCCGGATGGAGCACCTATTATTATCGGTGAGATAAAACGGTTTCAGGATGTACGATATGTCTCGCCTCCCGAGGCAATATGGAGGATTTTTAGCTTCCCACTTTCTCAGATACACCCTTATGTGATGGATTTTCATGTACATCTCCCAAACCAACAGATGGTTAGGTTCAGTGAGGATGATATGTTGACTAGCGTTGTTGAAAATGAGAAAGATAAGAAATCAATGTTGACTGCGTTTTTTCTAAAAAATAAAGAAAATATCCATGCAAGAGAATATAAATACAGAGATTTTCCTAAAAAGTTTACGTGGGATCCGAATTCACGTCATTGGAATCATCGAAAACTAGGATTAATGCGAGGTCTTTTGGTTTCTGGTAGTCCTGCTGAAGGGGAGCGATACTACCTTCGCCTACTTTTATTGCATATTAGTGGCCCTACGTGTTTTGAAGATCTCTATACGGTCAACAACGTAAAACACCCAACATTTCGGAAAGCATCTCTTGAAAGAGGGTTAATAGAGTCGGATGATGGTTTATCACAATGTCTTATAGAGGCATCTTTCTTTCAATTTCCAAATGCTCTTAGAAGGTTGTTTGCAACGATATTGAGTTTTTGTGCGCCAGGGGATGTTCGTAGGTTATGGGATGACCACTACAATGCACTTTCAGAAAATTATAGGCAACAATACGGAAGTGTTGAAAGAGTCCAGAATATGGTCCTCACTGACATCATGATATTCCTACAATCTATGGGTGACGATATTGATGATTTTGATCTTCCAAAGATAAATCAAAATGACGATTTAGAATTTGGAGTTTTTCGTGAGGTACAAGAAGAATGCTCTATAGTTTTAGAACCTGAACATTTACAAGCCCGAGATTTTCTCAATCCGGAACAGAAAATTTGCGTATGATGAGGTAATGCGACATTTCCATAATGATATTCCAGGATTTTTCTTCATAGACGGTTCCGGTGGAACTGGAAAAAACGTTTTTGTACAAAGATTTACTTGCTAATATTCGTTCATGTGGTCATATTGCACTCCTGAACGCTTCTTCGGGTGTTGCGGCTAATAATATGCCAGGGGGAGAACAGCTCACTCGCACTTTAAAATTGCGATCAATCTTGAAAATAACTCGGTCTGCAAGATTTCAAGACAAAGTGGTACTGCTCAACCACTTCGGACTACAAAAGTAATCATTTGGGACGAAGCATCTGTGGCTAAAAGACATGCATTGGAGGCGTTTAACCATACAATGAAAGATATCACTGGGGTGATGCTACCGTTTGGTGGAAAGATAATGGTTTTGGGAGGTGATTTCAGACAAGTGTTGTCGGTGGTTAGACGTGGAACACGAGCACAGACTGTGGATTCTAGCATACGAATGTCGCCTCTTTGGTCTTCGATTATCAAGTTGCGGTTAACTATAAATATGAGAGCACTATTTGATCCATGGTCCTCAAACTTTCTATTACGTGTCGGTGATGGAGTTGAAGAAACGGTGCACGGAAACTTTATTTGCATCCCTGATGATATGGTAATTCCCTTCACTGAAAAAGAAAAGTCATTGCATGCTTTGATTGATGCGATCTTTCCATCTTTTGAAATTAATAGATCTGAACCAGATTATATTATTTCGCGTGCAATACTATCCACAAGAAATGATAGTGTCGATGAGATTAATGATTATTTGATCGGCCGATTCCATGGAGAAGAGAGAATTTACTATAGTTTTGATGAAGCCATGGACGATATAAATAAATTATATCACGTGGAATTCTTGAACACGCACAGTGTTAGTGGTTTTCCCCCTCATTACTTAAGACTGAAAGTTGGATGCCCGATAATACTGTTACGGAATCTCGACCCGTCAAATGGATTATGTAACGGCACCAGATTGATATATAAGGGTGAGGAGTCAAGTGGGCATTCATTTCATAATCATATGGTAGAGAGAAGAAGAGTGTGTGTGTGTGTGTGTGTGAATCTTATGTGGAGCATCATTCTTATAATCAATTCATAGAGATTCATCAATTCTTATTCTTTTTCTTGCAATTAGAAACATTCATGTGGACAATAGACGGTCCAGATTCATCATATTCAGCCTTCGCAATCCACATCTGCTGGAAGGTGCTGAGAGATGCCAAAATGGAGTCTCCGATCCACACACTGTACTTCCTTTCGGGTGGAGCTACGACCTTAATCTTCATGCTGCTAGGGGCAAGGGCAGTAATTTCCTTACTCATTCGGTCAGCAATGATCGGGAACATAGTAGTACCACCACTAAGTACGATGTTTCCATACAAATCCTTCCTAATATCCACATCGCACTTCATGATAGAGTTATAAGTCGTCTCATGAATACCCGCAGCTTCCATTCCTATCATCGATGGCTGGAAAAGGACTTCCAGGCACCTAAATCGCTCTGCCCCAATAGTGATCACCTGCCCGTCGGGCAGCTCGAAGCTCTTTTCAACTGAAGAGCTAGTTTTGGAAGTCTCCGGTTCCTGTTCAAAATCAAGCGCGATATATGCCAATTTCTCTTTCATGTCTCTCACAATTTCTCGTTCAGCAGACGTGGTGGACGAGTAACCTCTTTCAGTCAGAATTTTCATCAGGGCATCGGTGAGGTCACGTCCGGCGAGATCCAAACGGAGGATGGCGTGTGGGAGTGTGTAACCTTCGTAGATCGAAACAGTGTGACTCACACCATCACCGGAGTCCAACAGAATACCAGTTGTACGACCACTAGCATACAATGAGAGAATAGCTTGAATTGCGGCATACATAGCAGGGGAATTGATGTTTTCGAACATGATTTGTGTCATCTTTTCACGATTGGCTTTTGGATTAAGAGGAGCTTTTGTAAGGAGAACGGGGTGTTCTTCTGGAGCGACACAGAGTTCATTGTAGAAAGTGTGATACCAGATCTATTCATGAAGGTGGAGGTACCGAAAAACAGATTAAGGATGTCTTAAAACTTTGATCCAAAAATCATGAAAATAATATTAGCAATGGTGAAAAGAAATTAGTGTTTATTTTATTTTTATTTTTATTTTTATTTTATTATCTAAAAAATTAATTTTTTTTAAAAAAAAATGTTAGTTTGAATTTAATTTTTTAGAGTTTATTTAATTTTAATTTTAATTTTTAAGTCTTCAAAATGTTTTATTTTTTTATTAAATTGGATGTATTGGGTTTAGATTTGAGGTTTGCAGCCCATGGGCTATGGACCTGATATGGTCCAGGGTATAAAAGGTTTGGTTCGCAGTTGAAAACCCTTCACCCTCACTTTTTCGTTTTTGGCCGCAAACCCCCTCTCAGTTTTCTCTCGATTGTTCTTCGATCCAATCTCTGATTCACCATCTATTTGTTGTTTTCATCGGAAATTGACCCTTGATTCTTGTAGGTACATCAAAGGCGACCCTCACCATGTTGAAATTAACTTGAATCGATCGCATTTTGAAGGATTATTGAAGCAAAAATGATTTTCGGCATCGAACAGCGTTTACGGCCGCAAACCGTTTACAGCCGTAAACCCGTTTACGGATGTGAACCTGTTTTTGGCCATAAAATTGGTTTTCATTTAAATCTTATTTCATTAAGGCCTAATCAATTGATAATTGAGAAAACTTAATTTTAATTGATTAAATCATTAGTTTTCTCAGTTGGATCGTTTTGTGCAGAACAAATGGCAGACTTGAAATTTGCGGATAACCACAACATTGCTGCTTTCTTGTTTGATCCTCCAACAGCACACCAAGAATTTAGGTCCATGATTCATGGACTTAAGAGATGTTGTCTTGCACATGCCTTCAAGTCAAATCCCATCATTTGTCAAGACTTAGTGAAGCAGTTTTGGAACAAGGCTTTTATGAATAAAAGAGAAGATGAAGAAGACACGGTGGAATCTATTATTCACGGAAGAAAAATTGTAGTGTCTGAGCAAACTATTCGCGAAGCGCTGCAAATCAATGACCAGCCCGGGTTTCAAACTGAGATTTCTATGGAACAAACTAAAGAGATTATCGAAAGAATGGGCTATGAAGGAGTGTTTCCACCTACCGTGAAGAAGCTGTTGCCTCCTTACTGGCGATTTCTTGCTCACTCCTTCATAATCTGCATCTCAGGAAGGAAATCTGGTTCTAATGAGATTTCCCTATTGAACACTGGTGCTATTGCTGCTCTTTCCATGGGTCTTGATTTCAACTTTTCATGATTCGTTTTGAATGAGATAATGAGCAATTTAGAAGGAAAAAGGAAGGACAAATTTCTGATGTTCCCAAGGTTTCTCCAGATGATATTTGACAGTAAATATCCGGAGTTAGAAAGAAGAGGTGAAACTTTGGACTTGAATTCGTTGGGTGCTAATACTTTTGGTCTCATGAAACAAAATCGCAAGGGTACGAAATTTGTATTCCAAGGAAAGTACCCACTAGAGAAGTTTGGCCAGTGAAGCATCCAAATCAAAAAGCTTCTCAAACAATGAAGATGATGTTATTACTGCTTCTGAGCATGAAGAAGACCTTGTTCCTCCCGTTGCAATTGTTGCCAAGGAACATGTACCGATGACTAATGTGGAGGTAAATGATGATGATGATGATGCAAATGATGATGATGAAGGTGAAGATGTGATGAATCTAGGAGATGATGTACTTGACTTTGATGATGATGAGGATGATGATGTAGCTAATATGGATCAAGGTGGTGATTTATCCAGATTTGATGGTGATAACTTATTCTTCGACTTCGAGCAGGATGATAATTTTAGGCCAAGTAATGAGGAACTCAATGCATTCTTTGATGATGTCCATTATGTTGTACAACCTACAACGGGAACTGAGGGAGTTAGTAATGTTCTCAAGGTGACGCCTACAACTACGGATCAGATGGCCGACACTTGAGCTAATCTGGATTCAACTAGAAGGATTCCTCCCCTTACAGTTGCTACTCCAGCCACTTTGCCATATGAAGGTGATCTTATCATGACACAAGCCTCCCGGCCTCCAATCAAAAGGAGAAGAGCACATCCAAGGTCGGGAGTGCAGATTAGGGAACAAGCTTCGCCGGCCCAACAATCTTCTGCAACTGCTACACCAACCCAACCAACCCATGAAGACAGTCACGTTTTGAAAGAAGGACAAAGTGATGTTCGATCTTCGTATGAAGTCCAGAGTTCTTCAATTCCTAGGGGTTCCTCTCCACCACAAACCTCACACGATGTAGCCTCCGAGGGGCTGGCAAGATTTTTGGCTCGTGAGGATGTTGATCTTGCACCAAGGGGCAAGGATATATATATATATATATATATATATATATATATATATATATATATATATATATATATATATATATATATATATATATATATATATATATATATTGTAACACTCATAAAATTTGCACCGATTTAAAACTTTTTAATTCATTCAAAAGCCATTAAATTCATACATCTTGTTTTCAAAATAGTTTAAACATCAGAGTATCCCCAGAACCATATCACATAAATCATAAAACATGAGGAGCGGTACGATCACGCCTTCGCCTTGCCACGATCTCCTGAAGTACCTGAAACATAACACTACAACTGTAAGCCCGGAAGCTTAGTGAGTTACCCCCAAAATACGAACCACATATAACCATACTCATATCATATCACAATACAGAACAGTCATGCATATCGAGTCTACAGTGTGACTGGTCCGCCCGCATCGGGCCTTCAGTCCACCTGGTCCACTCTCCGAGTCTAGCCACGTATACCGAGTCTACAGTGTGATTGGTCCGCCCGCACCGGGCCTTCAATCCACCTGGTCCACTCTCTGAGTCTACAGTATGACTGGTCCGCCCGCAACGGGCCTTCAATCGGCCTGGTCCACTCTCCGAGCCTCGGCACGTCTGGACCACCCGCTCGGGGCCTTCAGCCTATCCGGACCGCTCGTTGGGCCTTCGGTCTTTCCGGTCCGCCCTGGGTATGTTGGCCTACAGCACAAAGCAGGACCCGCCTCAACCCAACCCCAGTCAAACAACCATGTGCACATAAAACAGTTAACCACATAACAATCCTCAGTCAAACAAACGTATCTATCAGATCATTTAGCATAACAACATCCTAACCAGGATACAGACCTATCCGGTCACTAACATAACATTGCCCTACATACCAGGACACCGACCTTAACCAGGTCACTAACATAACACCATCCTAAGACCAGGATATTGATCTAGCAACTCAAAAACATATCAAACAAATACCAGGATTTCCATCCGATAAAGGGTCGGCCTTGGTGCCGTAGACCCTGTTGATATAGTGATGATAACTCACCTCGCAATTGCCGACTGAAAGGATAAGATCAGCTGCTCCGACCACCGACACGAACTCCACCACCGCACACTACCAAGAACCAGATTCATAAGCACCAATATTACCAAAATACCCTTGGAAGTCAAACTGGTCAATTCTTGGTCAAAGTCAAAGTCCTCAGTCAAAGTCATCTTTCCTGACCGACTCTACTCGCCGAGTTAACCCGTTGACTCGTCGAGTCCATATACTCTGAAAACTCTTGGAACGCGACTCAACTCGCCGAGTCACCCCAAGACTCGTCGATTCCAACGATCTCTGAGTCCCATCCTGTCCAACTCACTGAGTCGCCAACCGATTCACTGATTCGAAGCTTAACCCAAAAAGGGGGGGTTGGGGTTCTACCACCTGACTCGCCGAGTCCAAGAACAGACTCGCCGAGTCCAAAGCAATCTTCAACAGACTCGCCGAGTTGTTCTTCCAACTCGTCGAGTCCATGCCCATCTTCATATGACTCGCCGAGTCCATCCATGTGACTCACCGAGTCCCTTGAGTCCTTCATCCATACAAAGGCTTTTCGAGCCATGCAGGGGCTCCAAACTGTAGATCCACTCTACTAGGGCATAACCCCTACATAAAGTTACAAACTTTACGTGAAACCAAGGAGTTAAAGGTCCAAATCACTCTAGGGCTTGGGTTTAAGACAAAGGGGCTTCACCAATAGCTTATTGACTGATGCTTTATGACATTTTGGACCAACACAAGTCTAGATCTGAAGTAGCAACATCAGATCTAAACTCCAAACCCGAAATAGATCCCAAACATACCAAAATGGCCCCAAATCTCTTTCATGAATAGATCTAGATGCAAAAGAGTGAAGGTAACAGCTTAATACCTCCAAGATGTGCCCAAACTGAAGTAGATTCTGGATATACACCACTCCCTTGATGCAAGCCCTTTTGATCTTCAAGTTTCTTCCACAAAAGACAACTTCCAAAGCTTCAATCTCCCTCCAAAGGCCTCACACACACGAGTTTAGGGTTTTCTGGTTCTCAAGGCTAATAAGGAGGCTGAGAGAAGGGCAATAAGTCTTTTAAATAGGGTGCAACCCTCGAGATTAGGGTTTTTCTCATTCCAGCACCAACTCATCGAGTCCAGCTTCCGACTCGGCGAGTTGGCCACTTAACTCGCGACCACACCCCGCTCCGACTCGACGAGTAAGAGTACCTACTCGCCGAGTAGCTTCCTTAATTTACACCTTAAGCCCTTCAATCATACTCCTGGAATTTGGGTTGTTACAACTCTCCCCCACTTAAATTAGGCTTCGTCCTCGAAGCCTACTTTGGTATACGATACTAAATAAACCTCTTGCACTGCAGACTCCGATTTCTCGATTAACTCAGGTTCTTGCAACCCTGCTACTGCATCTTTATTACAATGACTTCTTCTCTCGTGGCATCCTTGCCACTACTCCAAGCCGACCATCGGCCTTTCAACTCAATAGCACCACATATCACC